CTCCATATCTATTATGATTTTAATTTTTAAAATATTGATAATTTGAAAAAAAATCTCACATTCACACAATTATTTTCATGTGTGTGTATGTGTGTGTAGAGAGAGAGAGAGAGGAGAGTAGGAGGGAGGGAGGGAGTATAGGAACACATACATTATTGTATATATAATAACTACTTGATTAAAGAAAAGTTAACCTAGCCAGCTAATCACCTGAACTTGCATCTAAACATTCTATGCAGGTTAGACAGAAACCACCCCCCCATAACTACTAGCATTCCCCAACCAAGCATGCGCCTTAAATGATGTAACTGATTATTTAGCTCTGCAATCCTATGCACATCTATTTAGAAGTAAGTCCCATTGAATTCACTGGGGCTTACTCTGAGATAAAGTGGATATAAGATTGCAATCAATGGGCTGGTTTGCATGATCATCCTGGCTAGTTGTGAGCTGTGCTTCATGCCAGGTAGCATGGCTTGTTGGACGGTAAAACAGCCCTCAAGTAACCCTACAACAAGCCATGTCAACCAGGTTTGGCTGGATGGTGATTACAAAATTTGTGTCTGGGATGCCCTGGAACACACTGCAGTTCACAACAAGTAACATGGTTTGTTTTTATCATGCAAACTGGTCTAAAGGTTGTTATATACCTTGGGTAACTCAAGTTGTTCATAAGTTGTGGCACACAGGTCTTGTAGAATACATTTAAGCAGCTAGTAGCTACTTGAGCATCAAGGAAGGCATTGTAAAGTAGCAGCAGGCTGCTGCTTCTCCATTGTCCTTTTCTTTTTCTTTGATACCATTGTGTGATCCCTTTGCCCACAAGTGATATCATTGCATGGTCCCTTTCCCTACAAGCCACATGATGTGAGGTGGGAAAATGCAAACTGTGGTGATGGCATAGCAGGTTCTGTGTATTAGATGTTACAAGAAAATGAAACTGAAATGACGTGGAGCGCTGGCAGCCTCATGTCAGTTATAATGTCTCTGTTGTCTCTTATCTCATTGTATCAGCATCTCCAGTAGACTGGAGATGCCACTACTCTGACTAACCATGACTTTCCAGAGCACCCAGCAGGAAATGCTTCCAAGAACTGTTACATGTGATCTTTTTAACTGAAGATGCCAGGGATTAAGCATGGGGCCTTGTACATTAAAAATGTGCTCTCTTACTCAGGAGCTATCTCAGGGAGTCAGGGCTGAGACCTGAGCCAAGACCCTGAGCTGAAGTATACAGGAATTGCAGCAGTTGTTCACCCAAAGTTTCAGTCTGGACAGGAAGCTCTTTCTTATCTAGGAAAGCCCAGTGATCAAAAGACTAGCTCAGAGCCTGGAATATATCACTGTTGTGGAAGATGTTTCCCACTGCTATTCCAATAGCTTATTGCATGTGGCAGCTACATACAGAGACACATTCTCACCCCAGTGCTTCTCAACATGGAGGCATCAAGTTATAAGCATCCTAAAATATTTAAGAGAGGTTTCCTCATACTGCATACTACAATCATAATTAAGTTTTCTACCTTTTCCTTGTTCCTTCTGCCCACTGTTTCATCTTTGGGTTTTACCATATATTTTTTCAAATTCTGATCTTATTAACAAATTTGTATTATGTGAATAATATTTCTATTCTATGATGGCTGACATTTGCAATTTTATTAGCATTTTCCCTCAATAAGTGGAAATGAATGTAATAGCATTGATTCCCCCAATGTTCTACTTAGTACTCTTCTTCTCCAGTTATCAAAGTTTTCTTATGACGTTTGATTAAATAAAAAAATCTATTTTACAGAAGTAAAATAGCAGCCCACAAACTTTCATTCTGTAAAGCAGAAACTCCATGCAACTTTTAGACCACCTATGGGTATTATAACAAACCAACCTTGGCTTCAAGGCCAAAGCAGATCCCCCATGTATTGTGCTGAAGAAACTCAGCTAACTGTCAGTGAGGATTTTCAGTCCCCCAGAAATCTGGGAAGACTGGCTCTATCTAGCTTGTGATTAACTAATGGGGATCACCTCAGATGTGCAAAACCCTTTAGGTACAAACCTGGGAGAAGAAAGATGCTTATGGTCTTGGTTTGTTTTGATTTGCTTGCTTTGCCTTTGGAGGCCTCACTTTTTGAGGTCCTGCACTACTAAAGACTTGTTCAGCTGGTACTTAGAGACAGGCTTAGTCTGTTTTGCTGTTTTGCCTTGTAAATATTGTTTCCAAACATTGCTCTGGTTCTTTTGTAGATTATTTCCTTTCCCTTTCCCCTTTTCTTTTGTAAATAAACTTAGCATCTATTATGCTTGAATCTGGGTACTTTAAAGCAACGGACCTTTGCACAAAGTCCAGAGCTTTCCTCATAGTTATTGTTACAGTTTAGGTTTTCAGACATAAGGATTTGAAATAGAGGGTGTTGGCTGGCACTCTTGTTTCATATGCCTTAGGGGTGTCCTAGGGCTGAGCTGAAATGCTGGGCTGGCTGAGGAATGCTGGGACTTTTAAGACTTTAAAAAATCTAAATATGCATAGGTTTGTGCCTTTAATTATGACATACCCTTATTTTGCTTCTTTCCTAATTAACTGAATGATTTCTCAGTCATCACGTATTGGTCCTAAAGCTCATAGAAGAGCACAAGTCACCTTAATGATTTTTCAGTGGCTCCAATTACTGTATGACTGTCCCTGATCCCATTGCATTAATGAAAAAAGAGCATTATCTATAAATCTGGTAAATAGAAATAAATGATAAGTGGAGTAAGAGCATTCAAATCTAGGAAGAGCTCTGCTGGATCACATCAAAAATTCATCCAGTCTGCCATTCTGTTTCCAGCAATGATCAGCCAGATGCTGGTGAGGTATTAAGGCAATCCCATTCCACTGGGTTGTATCCAGTGGCATCTGTCTGCCAGTGTAATTAACAGCTGGCAGAGTAAATTTCTCCCTGCAGCCACTCCTCCTGCGTGCTCCCAAGTCTGCTCTGGAGCATTACAGGACACTCTGGAGCAGATTTGGGGGGCATGCACAGAGGCGGGCTTTCTATGGGTTACTGTAGCACCTTAATTAGTTGTGAAGGGGGATACTTTATGCTAGGGAAATATTACAGAGCATGAGAATAATACCATTAGTATTGTAGTGATGCTCCAGCATGGCAGGCACATACACTGACAAAATTAGTACCTGGATATTAATGAACTGAATCCAATTATTGTGACATAGCTGGTTTGTCAGTTACAATGCAAAGGACATGCCCTGTAGCTAGCTGTCCATCTTTTTGAAGAAAATACAAATGGTTGAGTTACAGCAGTGTCCTAACAGTCAGGTTTCCTCTAGCTGATCAACAATATCAAAGTTAAATAGAGATTCTGAATGGCAGTAAGCTAGTTTATTGGAAGAATTTATATTCAGTTTATTTATTTGAATGGAAAGCCTGACAGATTTTAATGTCTTGGTAAAATTTGCGTGCCTACATTTTAAGTACAGGAATCCCTTCAGAGAGAGAGTGATGTACAATACAGGGCTGACTGAAATCGAATTGTATTCTGAAATGGATTTTCTGGTAGCCATTTCCAGAAGCAGCTTTTTTCTCACTGGGGTATAACAGTGGCTGCTTTCCCATCCAGGCCACTGCACCCAGCATGGTATTCCCATTATGGGAAAATAACTCACTACCATTACTTAGATTACTAACTGGAGCTGCTGACAAAGCTCTGTTCTCCCAGCATCACTTCCCTGCAACACGTCCAACTCTTTCATATACTTTGGTGTGTGAAATGTATGTATGGATGAATCTGTCACTTTCACATATTCCTATGTGTGGTTCTTTTACCCTAAAGATCTTTTTAATATTCATAAAGAAATTTGAGAAATTTGGTACAGTTTTATATAAAAGTACAATCAATGAGCTCAATGAAATTCTCATCCATCTGCACCAGCAACATTCATCAGCCCTATAGAAAAGACCTGCTGTCATCTAGCTGTTAAAGATAAGGGTCCTCTAAGAAAGAAGAGGAGGAACCTTAACTGAGCATTAAATAAATGCTTGGATGGAATTCATACCCAGAGAAAGAAGCATTTGAAAGATAGCCCTGTGCCTAGAAAGAAGAATATCTCTTTTGCTTTATTCCACATTCACTTTTAAAATTCAAGTTCTTTCCATCCTGTTTAAGAGGAAATTAGCAAATTTTGCTTGTGTTTGTTTACAGAAATGAACAGAACAAAATTCTCACTTATTGCTAGCAGGAAGTGTCTCCAATAGGGAAATAAAATTCAGGGTCTCCATGCACAATTTTAAATTACTTGCCCCTTGACAAAACAATTTAAATGAATATCTTGTTTTGCTCCCTTTTTTGGGACCAGTACTCACTCACTGCAAGTACTTCCTATAATTTTCTAAAAAGGCTTCCCAGCACATTAAGCTTCTCATAGCAACCTTTGTATACTGCATAAGATTTGTTGGGATATTACTGTAAGTTGCCATCCCCAATAAAGTGCTGCAAGGTTATAGTACAGCCTCTCTGGAAAAGGTCCCCTTGTCTGCAAGCAGTCTACATTTAATCAACATATAAACACTGTGCCTGAGACTTGATGAACAGCAATTATAGCATGTGGAAAGCAGTTACATGTTCCATGCAACCACCATCTTGCTGAAATGTGCTTGCTGTTGTATGCTGGCCCACTGTGTCAGTATGCTAACAAAATCCTGTGGCCCAGATAGCCTTATGCAACAGCGGACTAACAGTATATGGGCATGGGCTGTTGCATACAGTAAGCATGTTGGAGTGAGATGGCAGCCATATGGAATGTTTGCACAGGACACTGTTGCATTTCAGTCAGGCCTCATATGTCCAGATGTTTATGTTATCCACATCCCAAAGAAGGTGGTATGCATTAATAAAAATTGGTGTTAATTGTGAAACTAGTGGCTTCTAGTAGTCCTTAATATGAAGATAATGACAGCAAAAATAAGACATTGGGCTAATATTTGTCCTTTCTGTCTTGAAATATTTAGGTTGGAATCAGTATTGGGCTTGATGATCCTTGGAGAGACTGCCAAATTAAACATGTCCTGCTTGAAAGTTTTAATGGATCTAGTGAGAGATTTTATTTCAAGCTCAATGCCTCTTCAGAAGCAGGTAACAGGCAGGCTAATTTAGATGTAGGAAGGAAATGTTTTAGAAAAACACTAAATTGAGCAGAAGTCAAGCATTTATTTTCTTTACTGAGGTTTCTGTTGGCCTTAGTCTTCTAGATTGAGAAACTGGATAAACAGACCAGTTGTATATACTTGAAAAGTAATTCTATAGCCCAGTGCTTTCTGAGTTGCTGATGGCTAATTACTTCCTCAGTGGTGAAAACAGCTTGTTTTTGTGAGACTGGCTTGGGAATAAGTCACACTTAGTGCAGTAAAACTTGCCTTTAAGGAAGGCAAGGAACCATGTCCAACAGAGCAGTGGCCCTCCAGATGTTATTATCCTAGCCTGAATAGCCAATATAAGGGAATGATGGGAGTTGCAGTACCACAACATTTGGAGGTTCACCTCTTCCATATTTCTGGCTTACAGGATCAAACGGGAAGGTGTTTTGTAAAAAATTCACTAAATGAGCCTTGTTACTGTATGCTCTTTGATTGTTTACATATTTAAATATCACCATTAAGTGGTAGATTTAGGTAATTTTAGATTGTGGACTTAATGTTCCAACCCCCTTTTGATGGTAATGTGTACTGCTTAATCAAAATGGTAAGCCAGCATTGCTGTGTTTGAGGCCCTGCTTGTGTTCCTGAATAGGGCCTTGGTAGTGTGACTCAGAGCCCTGCCCTGCCTGCACCGGTTTCTTTCTCAGAAATATTGCCTTGTAACTGATGTGCTATTCACTTGATTAAAACGTAATGTTTCTTCCTATAGCAAAAGAGTAGCAAGGAGAGCTTCTCAAGCTGGCACTGGCAAGTGGGATATGTATACACTGATATACTGAGAGAAATCTGCTTGCATGGCATTAATGCAGATTTGCAAAAAACTGCTTTTCTTGGATTCTGTTATTGTGTCAAGGAATTTAAAGAAGACAAAGAATTAAGAGGGGCAGGCTTCCTCAATCTTTTGTGCTACTGCTCTTCATCTAATGACTGTAAGTATCAAAGAAGCAAATGTATTCCTCCATTTTTGTGTATTTTGTGTACTTGCATATTCATACTTGTGGTTTGTACAAATTTTGTACTTATGAAGATATAGCTTTACAGCATCATAGCATCATTTTTTGTATAGATAGACAGATAGACACACACTTTCAAATGTTTTGTTTATTTCCTACAGCATTTATGCTGAAACTCTGAATATCTCATCCCTGTATTTTAGTAAGGACAAGTTTCTCCTTCAGAAAACTCCACACACCTTGAATAAATATTGGTGCTCTTACCTGAAATTCTTACGCATACTTACTGGGGATTGATTGATTGATTTTGTATGCCATCCTATTATATAAGATCTCAGGACGGCTTACAATATTTAAAAAGACAATTAAAACAACAATTGCAATAAATAATAAAACAAAACAATAAATTTCAAACAGAACAACTAAACTTAACAACTATTAAATTTTAAAATACTGTTTAAATAAAAAGGTTTTGGCCTGGTGCCAAGAGGAGTATAAACTTGGCACCAGGCTTACCTCTCTGGGGAGTACATTCCAGAGTCTGGGTGCCACAGCAGAGGAGGCCCTACTCTGAGTTGATAACTTTTTTACCTCTCTTGGGGTTCCCGGAGTAGGCCTTCTCCCATAGATCTTAAGGGGCGTGAGGGATTTAAGAGGACTTAGAGACATCCAGGAAGACATCCTTCTGATCAGGTGCACCTACACATACCACCTTTGTTTGTTTACTATATTTTTCTTTTCAAGGAATTTGAGATGGTTTACATATTTCTGCTTTTCCTCTCATCTCACAACAACCCTGTGAGGTAGGTTGGGCTGAGAATCTGTGACTGGCCCAAAGCCACCCAATTGGCTCCATGACTGAGTGGGGACTAGCACCTGGAGCTCTTAGATCCCCAGTCTCACACTCTTAACCACTATGCTACACAATGTTACCATCTGTAAGAGCACAACCACCTCTTAATCAGTATTTAAAGATAATCTCAAACACTGGAGTGTTAATTTAGCCAAAACAGACATAATGCCCTTTGTTTCATGGTAGTTCAGGCTTGCCACACCTCAAGAATACACCAATGGGGCAAGAAATGTATGAGGTTTACCTGGTATCATCACATAAAAACAAAGCAAAAAAAAAAAAAAATCATAACCAGCACACAAGAAAGGACAACAAAAAGTAGACTTAAATTTTTAGTATAAAGTTAAGTTGGCTTTTGACTGTATGCCCACCACACCTGATGAAAAGTGTCCTTGGCAATCAAAGTCATCTGGGTCTCAAGTGAAAAAGATGACTCTGGGATCCTTTCTGAGCTGCACATCTGAAACAAGTTGAATGCCACTCAACCACTCATGTCTGGGTTGAGTTTCAGTTCACTGGCCTTCATCCAGTCTTCTGCCTTGCTCAGGCACTAATTTGGAACATCTAATGCCTTTCCTGGGTTAGAAGAAAAGGAAAAGCAGAGTTGGTTATCATTGTCATATTGCTGACAACTCAGCCCACATCCCTGGATAATCAAGATTTTAAATAGCACGGGGGATAAATTTGAGCCTTGTGGAACCAAGTCCCTGCTCTGTCCAGCATCCTGCTTATATACATCAAGAAAGAGGTAAACTCCAGCCTATGGGCCTGAAATTTAACCATAACGTTATTTATAAATTACCTTCATTAGATGATCACCTGGGATCAGTGTGCATGTAGCAGGGATGGGAAACAGACATTTCTCTCTAGTACAGGTGTGTTACCAAATTCAGCCAGTCAACAGCTAGGGCAAACCCGGGTGGACCCCAGACCCGAGTCAAAAGGAGCCTGAGATGAGACTGAGAGCCAAAACCAGCTTTATTCTAGTGCACTATAGAATAAAGGGAGACAAAAGGGGATGTTCAGCCCAAAGCAGTGTTGAAAGTTGCAGCCCGGTACATGCGTTTTATACCCTAGGTAAGCAATTAGGTCACCTAATACACTTAGTATTATACCTCTAATGCATCAATACATTAATGTAGCCACACCCTCACTGCTGTTAGCTTCAAAGAGTCTTTTCTTCTGTCAAGGGCCAGACATTTTCCATGTTCATTTCTTATCTGCTCGAGATTCACACAGGCTTGCCATGTTCTTCCTCCCTGCACATTTGCAACTTTCATGGCGGCTATAACCAGTTGCCACTGTTCCTTTGATTATTGTATTCAAGGTCAGGCTAGTGTGTTAGCTGTGGGTTACACAAAGTTCATTTTGTTCTTATCCGCCCTCCCTTCTGGGACAGTATAACTGTGGTGTTTTTACTATGCGGCCTTCCTCTGGCCAACTACTTTTGGTGTGTTTTGGGGTGCTGCAATTGGCAACAGGTGTGTGCAGCCTTTTCTGTCCTGAGAGCTCCATGTAATAGAAACAGAGCGAGTCAGAAGGGGCCTCCCAGGCCAGATAAGGGACCGCATACACACACATGCTTGACTGAAAGAGAAAGTCTTCAGTTGCTACTGGAGCACAAATAAAGATGTCCTAATCTCTAATTGGGCAGTGAGTTTAAAGCCTTAAACAGCTTGGATCTAGGTTACCTAAATTGGTGTCCCTTCCGGTATCTATCTTCCCATAGCCTAAGATCATCATCATGTAGTCTTGCCACATGAGGCAGGGCAGTTGGCTAGGAGAGGAGGGGGAAAAGAGAGTGAGAGAGATAGACTGAGTCATATATGCCAGTGCTACTTTTGAGAGGTATACAGCAATGTTTGTATCTGATTGAAAATGGGAATGTCTTAAAAGTGACTGTTGGAAAATATTAAAGGTTTATGCTAGATATATAGATGTATCAGTAGTACTTTGTGTGAAATGACAGAGTTTGGTTTGCTCAATAACCTGGCAGTATTAAGACATTCATTACCAAAGCACTAAGCTAAGGTTTTCTCATTTATGTTGTTTTCATAAATATTTCCAGTTGCTAAAAGAGATGCTGTATGCTAAGTGGTGGGCTGGCACTTGAAAACATAATGAGAAATGGAAATGGAATGAGGACATGCTTGAAACCCATCTGAAAGGTTTTGACATTATTGTGATAGAGGAGAGGTAATGGTATTGTTGCCATGTCAAGTGATGCTGTTTCTTTCATTATGGGGTCCTTGCAATTTGACTCTGGTAAGATCAGATTCCCCTGTGATCTTTTAGAAACTGACTGGACCTGTACAACTTCCACATGCTTCAGCAGTCATGGCTTGAAGTCTTTCATGTACCAAATGCTAGCACATTTGTGAGACATTATGGAATGTCAAATGACCTTATAAGTTTGTGGTATTTTGAAATGTAGACAAACAAGAACTCATCCATGTGTCTGGGAAAATTCCAAAAGTGGATCCTTTGCTCCACTTTCTGTAGATTCTATTTACTGATTTAGCAATGTCACTATATGTGCTGCTTTACACAGTAATATAGCAAAAAAAAAAAAAAAAGACCCATATCCTGAGACTACGATGTAAATTTGGCTAATACAGGGCGTCCACACAGGATCAAGGGACAGAAGGGAGCAATAAAGAGAAAGACAAAAGAAGAGGCAGAATGAGAGAAGCAGGTTTCACAAGGAATAAATATAAGTGAATGCAGTTGTATTTAGTCTTTGCTTCAGGTGATGAAGTTCACTAGTAAGAGTGTAGCTAATCACCATTTCTCCAAAATGCACATTCTTGGCATCTCAGGCATGCATGATCCATTTGATTCCATGCAAGGGTAAATAGAGGAGGACAGAAATGACTTGTTTCCTTAGGTGAACACAACAATATCTGTGTGTGTGGTGAGCAAGAAAAATTAGTATGATAGATAGTGTCACCCATATGGAAATTCATAGAGATTTTCTATGACCTGTGTAGATTTTCACCAGGTACTCTGAAACCAACCTGACCAGAGGAAATCAATTTAGAATAAATTACCAGCTCTTGCTACCTACATAGATGTCAATAAAGATACAGTGACTACCTCTCAAACTTCATTATGTGCATTCACACTGATCTCATGCTAAATATTTCCCAGCTCAGTTCAGTGAACACCCACTCTGTTGCAACCTTGGAAAACTCTGTGCTTGAAATGTAAAAAGTCATTATTGCTGCTATCTTAAATTCAACTATACATACTTAAGTGTATATTAGTACAAAACATATTCTCTAGATTTCCTGTTTTGAGCTAATCTACCTGTTATGTGGGAAATCCATGACTGACATTCTTCCCATGCATTACTTAGAGCAAATAGCAGCCTTGGGGTGAGGGGAAGAAATAAAGGCTTTCCTCCCAGTTGTGTCTCACCGTGTTCCTGGCAGGACCAAGCCAGAAATGCATGAGACTACAGAGTAACAGACAGACCTTGTTGCTTGGCCTGGTACTGAGGGGAGTCAGAACTCTCAATCCTCTCTCAAACAATCACTCAAAAGTGGGGTCTATTCAAGTTGACCATCGGTTCATGGAAAACAGTGGACTTTGACTGCTCTCATCCCCTTCATCCCAATGTCAAGATCACCCAGGAGCAGAGGTAGCATTGTGTCTGAGCTGATTATCTCAGGCCCAAAGTTGTAGTTCCCATCTGGTAGCATAAGGCAGTGGTTTTCAACCTTTCCACAGCTGGGGACTGGTGAAAACAGGAAAACCACCTTGGAGACTGCTGAGGCAGAAACAAAAAGCACCATACACACAGTACAGTATTGTGTTTTAATTTCCAAACACAATGCCAAAAAAATGAAAATTCTCCAGAACAACCAGAGACTGAGCAACAAAAAATGTCAACAAAAGAACAAAATACCAAAATTGGAGCAGCGTGGCTTCCAGTCGGCTCCCACTGAGCCATCTCTCCCTTCCCTGGTCCCCCCGGTAGCACTGGTGCACCCCCTACGAATATGATGCCAGCCAAGAAGCCCAGCCAGCCAGCCATTGCACCTGGCCACAGCAAGTGGAATTCCCTCCCCCCGCCCCCCCCCCCCCCCAGACTGGCAGGAAATCTCTGTCAGACCAGTGC